ATACATTTTCCTGAACTAGTTATAGAAAGGGATATAAATATCTCTGTTAATCAGAAGGAGAATGAGTGTACATAATTATTGTAATTTGCTTGAAATTGTTAAATTATCTTTTCTATACCAGTTATAGGCTCTTAGTTTAGAATTAAGATTTCAAGGTTATTTCTTCCTGACCATTGTAACAACATAGAAATGGTCAAAACCTCCAGTTGTATATTTCACTCTTCATTTCCATTTAGCATGTTGTGCTTCATGAAAATTACATTAATGAAGGTTAGTTAATCTGTTGGTAACCTCATCAAATGAGAAAGAGAAAATAAAAATGCTCTGTGGTAATGGTGACATGTGTTGCGATCGTAAATGAGGGAGAGTCGAAAAGACCTTGAAGTATCTTATTTTTAAAGTAACGAATTGCAATAATGGTGACGTGTTGTGATCGTAAATGAGGGAGAGTCGAAATGACCTTGAAGTACCTATTTTTAAAGTAACAAATTGCAATAGCATATATAGCAGGGGTGGCCAAAGTGTGGCTCGCGAGCCTGATATGGCCTCGTAGGCAATTTGTGCGACTCATTATGCATATAAAATATATGTATGAAATATGGTAAACTAAAACTATTCAGTGTCTAAAAGGAAGTAATTAATTAGTTTAGACTCTTTTTTACAAAGTTATCAGGGATTTCTTTCTAATTGAAACCTCCTCCACTACTTCTATAATGATGTAAATATGAACTTGTGTCTTTTAGAAAATCTAGATGCGGCTCTCGAACATTCCTGAATTGAAACATGCGGCTCTTACTGACATGAAGTTTGGCCAACCCTCATATATAGTATACTATAAGCGAGGTATTTTGTGTTTTAAAAAGGCTCTATTTCATGAAAGGAAGTACAGTCAAAAGTTTTTAATTCGGACCTCAAAGCTACAAACTTTCTGTGCATACGTAAATGCATAATACGTTTACGCATGCATGTTTAATGTATAACGGATGGTATAAGCTAAACTAAAATTATCTAATTATCTATTTCAGTTAATGTTGCAGATTGCGTTGTTCCTTAATCTTCTAATTGGATCCGGCTTATTATTTTTTGCAGACTGTTAGAGCAATTTTATAAAAGTAGGCTTGAACTTTCGATTATGTCAAAAAGAATTTCCGATTCAGGAGCTGCCAAAGGATCTACAAAGCGAAAGCATGTTTTGATGTCCATCAAACAAAAAGTGAAATTGCTGCAAAAAATGGATGAAGGCATATCCTTTGTTTCTCTAACCATTCCAAAATCTGTTTATCAATTTCACGCTGCTCTGTGGGGAAAGGATGGGAAACGTCACAATGAACTGGAAGTTGATCTCTCAGTACTATCCTTATCTTCAGGGCAGATGTTTTTATTTTATTCGGCTTATAATACCTTACTAAATGTAGTATTTTATCTTGATGTACTCCATCTTTGATTATGATTTAAATCAAATTCCTTGTCATTATAAATATCACGATTACACATCAAATAGTTTTCTGGTTGCAATTTTTCTAATTTCGACTATGTGTAATGTATGCTTTAAGCATGTGCGCGTTGAAAGAAATGTTTAATAAAGTAAACAAATAAATATTAAGCTTTTTCTTTGTAAATTTTGATACCCTTTCGATCATAATTGCTCTTTATTTCATAAATTACGGTTTCATATTTTTAATTTTATAATTTCTGCATGCCATCTTACCAGGTTTAAAGTGAAGATCTACCATCCAGAAAAACCAATAATCCGGAATCGCCGAAGTCCCGACGAGTCCGGATTAAAGACTTTACTGTACTGTATAACAGAATTTTGTTTGGTCTTCTGATAGATACAGAACCTCTTGGTTTTATATTTTTAACGTAAGAGAAATGCTTCCCAGCAGTGTTTATCAAATGAATGAAACTTAAATTGTGCAAACTCCATTCCCCCACCCCTTGTGATTTCAGCATAAGTTTCTTATTAAATTTTATTTGACCTGAATTCAGTAGCCATTTGTAGAATTTTTAGTACTTCTTTGTTAAAGCCGTCCCCAAGATTGAATTGCTGATCAACTGAGATATCTTGCCAGAGTCTCAATTCTTTATCGCGTAACTGTAACACCTTATTTAATTTTCGTATTTGCATTGTTTATTTAACTTTTTTTTTTTTTTTGTGTGTGTGTGTGTGTGAATTAAACATTAGCAATCTCTAATTTACCAAGTAAGGTGATGTATGTGACCAAGTAAGGTGATATCATTTTTTCAAGAACAATGTCTTTTACCTGACAAATGAGTATGCGAAAATGGCCAGAACGTGAAACATTATGTTAATGGCAAAATCATTTGGAGTTGCAGTGTTAAAAATTGCAAAAAGAAGAAGGGCCTCCGTGTTGGAAATTGGTTCAACGGTTCCAGAATACCGTTCGTCACTGCTATTAGATTTGCATATTCTTGGGCAGAGGAGTTGACGTCCATGAAATGGTGTAACAAACAGCTTAATATATGTGAAAATGCTGCAGTTGATTGGAACAATTACCTACAATAAAATAATAAGGATAAGGCTTCATAAAAATATTCTTAGAAAACAACATGTAAGTATTATTGTTATTATTACACACTGATGGGGGAAAAAAAGGATCCCAACACCAAGAAGAAGTTGTGCTTGATAAACATAATTTGGTAGGCATGTTTATACATGTGAAAGAGTTGTATTCAGATTTTGAGCTAGGTGTGTAAATGTGGCACTAGCAGTGCCACTATGCAACTGCAAATCAGGTTGGCTTTATATACGAGCTGTAGAGTTCATGGGCATCATTTATCATCAAAATTCGACATAGTGAGTTGATGTTAGTCAATAATGCTTTTAAGGAGATAAAGAAGCCATTAACAACAGCTCAGTGAGCCTGAACGAAGTCATGTAATAGGGCTACTAGATGGTGGGTTTTCTTCCTGTAATATTGCAGAAAGACTTAGGAGGAATGTATCCACTGTACGACTATTGGCAGCAATGGTCAAGGGAAGTTACTGGCTGAAGGAGACAGAGTTCTGGGTAGCCACAGAGCATTGCTGAGTGGGAAGACTGCCGTGTTTAGCTTATGGCTGGGGCGCATTGGGCTGCATATGCAATAGAAATTTGATCTGCGTTTGCCACCACGGCAACATAACAAACTATTACAAATCGGTTACTTGAAGGACAGCTCCAAGCCAGAGCCTTGTAGTGTGCATTTTCCGTGACTCCAAACCACTGCTGTTTGCAGCGTCAATGGTATCAAGCTAGAGCTCACTGGAAGATGGGAGTGAGGATCTATTGTGTTTTTTGATGGAAGCCAGTGACTGCTGTGTTTTGGTTAGAAGGAGGCTAGGAGAGTGCCTGCAACCAACCTGTCTGCGGCCTAGACACACTGGACCTACAGCTGGAGTTATTGTCTGGGAAGCAATTTCGTATTACAGTAGGAGCATTCTCGCAGTTTGAAAATTTGTATTGAGCAGTGTTTCTCAACCTTTTGACTAACGCATACCATCTAAACAAATTTTAGTATCACCAACTATATTTTTCAATTCTCTGTAGAAATACTTGAAAAAACTATTTTGCTATTTATGCAACCTATTGGCTATTTGTATTAAATATACACACATATAGATTAAAAATTGGTTACCATTTTAATTATCAACATTTAAGTTATAACACTTTAATTCTAAAATTTAGTGTGAAATTGGGGTCTGTTTAGAAGAGATCAATTTTTTTAAGCCTGGTCTTATTTCACTTCACTTTAATGGTAAATTAGGATCCACTTTTATTTTTGCTCTGTATTTATTTTTCAAATATAACGTGGAAGAAAATCCTTGTTCACACAAATAGGTTGTGCAGAAAGTCAATAAAATTTTCGTAGCTGTATTTGAAATGCCTTTAAATTCTTTTTTTTACAGCCAAAAGTTAACAAGTGTGTTATTTTTGAAATCTTCTGTTGGAGTTCAATCACATTCTATCAATTATTCTTTTTTTTTTTTTTTTTTTTTTTTAAGGGAGATTTCTTTAATTTAATTGTTAAAAATATTTGTTTCTTTGCGTACCATCGGTTGAGAATTCCTGGTATTCAGTCTATTCTGCTGCCATTCATGAATAGCATTCAAGGGGGTGTTTTCCAACAGGATAACGCTTAGCCTTATACTGCTGTTGTAACCCAATATGCTATACAGAGTGTCAACATGTTCCTTAGCCTGCTAGGTCACCAGATCTTTCTCCAGTTGAGCATGTATGGAACGTAATTGGATCAGCATCATTCACAACCAGCATGTATATTGTGTTGTTTACTTTGTTCGCATTTCATGAGCTTGGCGAAATTATAGTTATCATGGTGCAAATCCCAAATCATCAAATATGGTTGAGGGCCACTAGAACAAAGAAATACTGAATTATTTTTGTAAAATTGTGCAATACCCAACTCTCCCAACCTGTTGTGCTTTTGGCCATAATTATTCCTATTTAATTTTATTTGATCTCACGATCATAATCTGCTGAAATGTATATGTTGAATCAGTTAATATTCGTATTTAGTTTAGTTTTGCATCAGTAACTGGTACATTACCAAGTTTATTCACACAATAGGTATAATGTACCTGTAAGTATTAATTTTATTTTCATTTTAAAAGTACTTTTGAAAAATAAAGGGTTTTCTTTCTGATTCAGGATTTTCTGAGCATAAACACACAAGAAAATCAAAAAATGAAATTAGTCAAAGGACATAAAATTTAAAATATCCAATTAAATGATTTTATATTTTACATCAGAATCTAACAGGATAACAGTTAAATAATCATAATCATGCATTAAAAATTAATTTGGAGTTTTTTAAAAATGCCATTACTGTGCAGTGTGAAAACATCTCAGATACTCCCGTTTTTCCATATTTTACGTTTGTCAACAGTATTATTGTAAGTTTATCTGTAATTCTGTATCATTTTGACAATAATAAAATTATGTTTTAAACTATTCATTTTAATTCCTTATATTATTTCAGATGCAACTTCAAGTTCTTCCAGAAGTACTGTAGATTCAGCACCTACAGTTGCTGTTGTCCAGGCAGTTTCCTATCCTACACAACAATCGATGTTAATGAACGAGACTCTACGAGAAATACAAGAAGAGATAGATGATTCTGGAAGAATTGCAGGAATCATAATTGGAGTATTGGGAGGTCTAACCATAGTATTTGCACTGGTGAGTAATTATTTATTCTATGAATTAAGTTAGATTTAAACAAAATTTTATAGTAAATGCTTAGTACAGTACAAAGTCCAACATCTGGACTCGATGGGACTTCGCAGATCCCAGATTTGGGATTTTTCGTATATTATATTATCAGTTTAAATCTAATAAGATGGCACGTAAAAATTATAAAATGAAATCATGATTTATGTAATAGTGAACCATTTATTATCTAAAGAGTATCAGAATTTAACCCCCCCCAAAAGGCCAAAGGTCTAATATGTATTTGTTTACTTTATTAAAACATTTCTTTGAGTGTAAATTGTTTAAGTTACTTCATTTTTTGTGCTTATACTTTCTCTTCAATTCTGTGTAAAGACATAATTTCTTGTTTAGCTATAAAGTTTCACTGTTCAAGTCCTGTAGTTGCTGTGTTGAGAATTCTGACTAACTTGTCAAATCAGAATTTTTTGGTTTTCGATAAACTCTCTGTCACTTTCTTTACTATTGGTACCAGTATTTCCTGGATCGGAGCATTGTCATCGCAATCTAAAATTTCTGTTGTATCATCTTCATTTATTACCGCTTCTCCATATTTTTTTACAAAATCAATTAATTAAAAATTTCACCTGTGGTTTGCGATATCCGAGAGCCTTCAAATTTGCAGCTATCACCTTCCTCATCCTCACCATAAAATGTGGTAGCTGTCACTAATTTTATGCCAAGCATTTTTTAAAGTATCTGGAAGCACATCTGCCACAATCTTGCTCCACACAACAGCTTTTATGCTAAAATTTTTTTTAAATTCTTGAATAGTGTTGCCATTATCCAGAAATTTAACATGGATTTAAAAAATGCTACTTTATAATTGCATTTCAGCGTGTGCACTGTTCTGATATTCATAGGCTGAATGAGGGATGTACAGTTTGGAGGAAAGACTAACATAGATACATTATCTTTCATTAAAACTTTAGCCAAATGCTTATCTACAATCAGGACAATTTTTACATCATCAGGTAAACCAGCTGAATTAAAATTTTGCCAAGCCTCGGTTATGAAATGATTTTCAAACTAATCATACATTAACGCTTGTGTCATCCATGCTGTTTTATTTGCTTGATATATAATGGGAAAATCTCTACTGCTTTAAATGCTTGAGGTCATGCATTTTTTGTGATTATGAAAAGTTTACACTTGTGCATTCCTGCAACATTTGCGCATGCTAAAATTGTTAGTCTAGCTTTGGGATATTTGACACCAGTTGGAGCCTTTTCTGTATAGGTTGCTAAGGTATTTCTCGGTATATATTGCCAGAAAAGACCAGTTTCATCAGCATCATAAATTTGTCCTGGAGATAAAGTGTCACTATTAATGAGTTCAGTGAATTCATCTGCAAAGAGTTCAGCATCTTCAATATCAGTTGAAGCTTTTTCACCTGAAATTTTTAATTGCTTTATACCATGGCTATTTTAAAATTTGGTTAACTGATCTGTCGAATATGTGCACTAATTTTTTAAGTTCGTTTCTTCATGATATATTTTGGCTTGAACCATTAGCATTGTACCTGTCAATGACACATCTTCACACGCTGTCTTTCAGTCATCACTTTTAGCATAGCAGATTTTTTTTTTTTTTTTTTGGTTATTTATTGTAAGTAGGGTGTTGGAATCCACAAAAAATTCATGAAGTCCCTTGTTCTGTTTTGTCATATACAGTTGCTTTCCAATTCCATGCTCCTTGCATAATTTTGAAACGGATATACCTATATCCATTTTTGCAGCAATTCCACGTTTTGTTTAATGGACATCGAAACATGCATTCGCATTGTAGCTCCTGTTGCAGCTCAAGAATTAGAAACTCTTTTCGACATAATCGAAAGTTCAAACTTTAGTTTTCATAAAATTGCTGTAGTTATAACAGCTGGAAAAAAATAAGATCAATTCAGAAAGTTAAGGACAAGTGCAATCTCCTATATTAACTGAAATAGTTTAGAATCGGTAAAGTGTAATTTTAGCCTAACTTAAAAGCCTCCACTATATATTATTGGCTATGTAGTATGAGACTAGCGACAAAAAACAAAATGTTCCATTAAAATTTGTCTCGCTTCTGTCGTGCACTGGAACAATTAAGCTTTTACGTCTAATTCTTGAATATTCTTGAATATCCCCTTTGCACCGACTGTCACGTCTACGTGCCAGCAACGAACACACTCACTTCCCGGCTGACACGCAGGCGTGCCAGAGCGTTTTCCTGTACAGCCCCGACTGTCATGTATTTGTTCCAGTGTTCTGGAACGTTTTAAAAACTATAATTTCTGCCACGAGATGGCACTGTATGTCCATATGGTTTCAGATACATGTACATTAAACCTTCTACTCAAAATGAGAGAGAAGCATGACTCATACACATGTTTTTGATTATATAAACAAAAGGGGAAATAAATTTTTCCGAATGGCGTGATTTATGAGGTCTCTTTAAATCCGCACGTGGTAGTTGTTTATTGTAAGTAGAGAAGTTTTATTTTCGCTAAAGCTTTGGGTATTTCGGTTTGCAGTTCAGTTTTTAGAAAATAATTAGATCTTGTTAGACGTGAATTCTTTCTGTTTTTACCGTTGCAATGTCGAAGCGTCGAAAATGTTTAACAGAGCATGAAATAGTAGAAATGATGCAAAATATTTCAGATATTGATTCTGAAACAGATTCTGATAGTAGTAATAGTGATACTATGATATATTCTGATCATAAAGAATCTGACGAATCTAATGATGATGAGGACATTTCGGACATCTGTATGCCGAGTATGTCAAAAGCAAGTACTTCTCCATGGTCATCCACAATAGATTTAAGTGATTCCGTCATTATTCAGTACCCATCTTTCAGAAAAACTGTTAAATGATATAAGAAGCTTTTCTTCAATATCATGGATATGGCTGTATTTAATGCCAATACTCTTTTCAACAAAAAAAGTAAAAAAAAATCTCCCTCTCCTGAATTATCGGCTTAATTTAGTTAATCAAATTATTTATCGGTATTCCTTTAAAAGCACCAATGTTAATATCACACCACGATCAGCAGAATCATTAAATCCGCTCAGATTAACTGAAAGACATTTTCCAAAACTTTGTTCAGAAGAGACTGATAAGAAAATGAGACGACGATGCTTCGTTTGTTCACATTCCCGGAAAAATCCTCCAAAACGGCAAATAAATTATTACGAGTGCAAGGAATGTAACGTAGGACTGTGTGTAGATCCCTGTTTTCAAATTTTTCATACGAAAAGAGAATTTTAAGTAATATATTTAGTTTTCAGATGTATAACGTTAAAAGTCATAAAATGGTGAGTAATGAAAATAAAATGTGTAAAATATGCATTTAAACAAGAAATAAGGTAATTAAAGTATATTTAAAAATATCTGTAAAATATAAGCCGTTTAAATACTCTATAGAGCATTATTAAACAATGCGTTGATACTTCGGAAATTTCATGGATTTAGGCTTAATAGCAAAAAAGCTGCCGGCCCTGGACAGATGCTCGCATAAAACTCTGCCGGCCTCCGCGATAAGCGCGCGTTTGTGCTACCCGACGCAAAGGGGTTAAGGCTCATCTGAGTCCTGAATAAATAAATTCTAAGCTTACTGAGGGCAGGAGCTAGATATTTTGTCGCCTAATGCAGTTTCAACGGGTTCTAAATTATTGTTACTAAGTGCCTTCTTAAGTTCTAAATTTTTGCCACCCCTTAATTTTGGGTCGCAGTGCTTTCCCTAAATTCTAGAAATTTTATCATCCCTTAATTTTGTTACTTGGTGCTTCTCTAAATTCCAAAAAATTTGTCTTCCCTGATGCCTGGTGTGGCTGTACGCCGGTTCTGAGTTTTATGTGAGTGAAAAATCAGTTTTCTTTACTCAAATATCAGTAATGCAATCTTTTGGCCTATGAGTATCATTAACAAAATCTATTTTTATCATAATCTTTCCTCGTCAACATTTAGTGCATTTAACTTAAATCTGTAATCATCGCCAAGCGTAATGTCAACATGAAAGGTTTTCATACTCTTTGTTATTCAAATATTAATGTAAAAAAATTATTTAGGCGTCACTGCATGAGTCATTACTCAAGTTGTCATGTGTTGAACATAAGGTGAGGAAAGCAAAATATAATAAATAATGATTTGCCGGGTTGGGCATCAGGGGTTAAAATATTAGTAGCTGTAAAATCAACGATGTATCTACAGAATGTTTCGGTTTGAGATGTATGCCTAGGAGATATGCATCCAAATTATTGATCACACAAATTTATGTTAAATGATTGTTTCTTCAGTAATGAGGTATTTAGTGCAGAAGTGAAATTAAGATGGATTCTCCACATGTTTTCTTATTGGGGAAAAAAATCAAATGCACATGTGTAAAGCATAATTTTTTTTTTTTTTTTTTTTTTTTTTTTTTTTTTTTTTTTTTGTTGGTGGCTTTAAGGTCTAGATTTTAGATCATTCCAAATCTAGAACTTTGTAATGCATTAGTTATATAGACTTAAATGTAAACTTTTTGCTAGACTTGTCAGTGCAATTATGTAGTGTAATATGTATTTATTTATTACATTACTTGGCTAGATTAATAGTTCTCAAAATTGTACTGTTCTAAAGCAGAATATTAAAATTTTCTCTACCTACTTTCAATCAACAAAAGAAGCTATTCAAACTGTAATGCTAAATTGAAGGTAATTTGCATTTAAAGCTTATAACCACACATTTTGACTGTGTTTATTTTGCCCTGATGCTTTTCCCCAAAATTGTTAAATTGCCTCTCTTTTGATGGTATATGTTTCTTCCTCCCAAACCTTTTAAATTTCTGTTAGCATTCCCCCTTTTATTTCCATTCTTTCCATCTTTGAAGTCCTCTTTAAATAAAAGGAGAAATATGAAATACAAATAATGAAGAGAAAAGTGATTATTTTTATTATTTTTTTAAAAGTATGTAAAATTGGAATAAAACCAATAGTAATTAATAAACATTTTATTAAGAAAGACTCGTACATGACTGAACCACAAGCATAAAATTAAAAAATAGCAGAGAGCAGTTCTTTAGAGTGCATGCAATGGCATATAAACTCAATATAAGAGTCTGAATGTTAATGAAGAATTTCTCTTTGGCGTCTGTTGTGCACATAAGGTAGCACAAAATCCTACCCTACATGGACTGAACACATTGGGTTATTGGGTTATGACACCTAGTATCCAGATCAACAGAATAATAGGATTGATTAACAGTGAAATATTTCAAATACCAAAGAGAAAAAAATGGGGGGAGGCTGTGATTAGAGGGAAAATGTGATTGTGCAAGCGATGGTTATAGAGACAGTTATTGCCTTGAATGAAGCCAAGCTAAACTTGATGCTTAGTGCCAAGGAAATATGACAAAACAAAAACGTGTCGAGGGGTTTGATTTTATGGGGAAGAACCTTCTTATCTTGTGTAGTTTTTTTTTTGGGGGGGGGTGTGCTCAGAAGGAATGGATAAGGTTTACTTTTTATTTCCTTGTAAAAGTAAAGGAAGTATTGTAATCATGAAAGTTTTTGGGTTTCATATTTCAACGAAAATATCCAGATTGACTGCTATCAATTGCAATTTAATGATGTTTTTGCATAAAATCTGTGCATAAGGACAGATAAAGAACTTTTTTTTTTTTTTTTAACCTAAACAAATTATAAAACTGGTGTAAAATGGATTTAGAAGAGATTTTAGTCCCCGTTAAACATTTTTAACAATTTACATTCAAGTTACTTTAAAACAATTTTCGGAATTGAACTTACTAACTATGGATTCGCTCTTTTAAGATAATTCTACTAAAATTAATCTTAGGAGATAATATAATCAATATTTCTTTAGTAAATAAATTATTATTAACTTACTTTGCAGCAATTGCACGAGTAGTAGAATAACTCAATTTTGCACTAAGTGAGTTTAAGATCATGCAACATATATATACCCACTCTGTTACTTGGCTTAGTGAGCTCAGTTTTTTTTATTCCTATATATTGGTAAATTATTCATTTTTTGCTTTAAAAGTGTTAAATTATGTTATTCTTATCTTCCGCTTAAGGGTTTTATGCCTTTAGTTAATCTGCATGCAATTGTTCTACAATTATCAATAACTTAAAAGTTGTTCAAGTGCAGTGAAGCCGAATTTTTTTTACTATAGCAGCCATATTTGTTTACATTTGAAACTTAGCAGATTAGTGAATTAAGTCCTTCTGCACCTTCAGCGTCTTTTGCCCAGTGGAACTAAAAGGAATATAAGTTTTGTGCACCAAAAGAATCTGCCTTCTTGCCTGCGGGCTGAATTGCCCGTTTTTTCATAGAAACCGTAATTTTAATTGTAAATTTTTTAAATTGTTTTAACTGTATTCTTTAACTGTTGGCCACTGGGTCATTAGGCTGTGTGCTCTCCACTGTTTTTCTACAACACAATTAAAATGAGATAATGCTGAGCATTTGTCAATGTGAGCAACTCCCATGTTTTGTCCAGTTTAACATAAAATAGTACATACAGAAGAGTCAGTGATATCGAAATGAAATAAATGGGAATGGAGACAGTAGTGTCCAATCAACAGTCTAAAAGGTGGGCATCACAGCTGCTGGAAGTAGTATCCGGAAGAAGATGAGAACAGGTGCCGAGAATAGTCCAAAATTTAGTACAGGAAGAGTGAGCAGACAGTGTATGGATGGACCAGCTGAAGGTAATTTTAATCTCCAGTTTTTAAGAATGAAGGGCAAATTTCTATTTGGTTTCTGAATTAAACTGCAACCTCTTTTTCCACAAAAGTCCATTTTCTCATTTTCCTGAACACCACAGCGAGAGGGTACCCACTCGAAAGACACTTTATGTTCAGTTCTCTCAAGTACAGATCTACACTGCTGGAAATGAGCGCGTTTACTCAGATTCGATGATTAAGCTTGAAGAGCAGATGTTGAACTGGCGACGATCACAGCTCAGTATCAAAATGGGTCATAAAATTTCCAACTGGCAGGTAAGAACAGAAAAAATTCACAAAAATATCAGTGGCCTCTACAAAGGCCACTTGTGAAAGGGTCTAAAATTTACAAAACGACAGAGACTTGTCGGCAATCCAGGGCTCTTTTATAGATTTGGCCCAGGAAGGCGAGGAAAAGGGAAGGAAAAAGGAGAAAATGTAGCAGGCGCGCGATAAACTGGAAGTTGATCTGTCAGCACTATCCTTATCTTCAGGGCAGATGTTTTTATTTTATTCAGCTTATAATTCCTTACTAAATGTAGTATTTCATCTTGATGTACTACATCTTTGATATGATTTAAATCAAATTCCTCGTCATTATAAATATCACGAATACACATCAAATAGTTTTCTGCTTGCAATTTTCTAATTTCGACTATGCGTAATGTATGCTTTACGCATGCACGCGTTGAAAGAAATGTTTAATAAAGTAAACAAATAAATATTAAGCTTTTTTTTTGGTAAATTTTGATACCCTTTAGATCATAATTGCTCTTTATTTCATAAATTACGGTTTCATATTTTTAATTTTATAATTTCTGCATGCCATTTTACCAGATTTAAACTGATGATCTATAAACCGGAAAAACCGATAATCCGGAATCGCCGAAATCCCGACGAGTCCAGATTAAAGACTTTTGACTGTACAGATTATTTAATAAACTCAAATTGGCAATTCTAGGACATAGGTAACTGCTCAAGATTTAGAATATTGCTACAACAACTACAAATTTTATTTCAGTTATATTAAAAAACGTTTAACTTGCAGAACTTTGTACAACAGGGAAAAGTTAAATTATAGTAGTAACTGCCATTATTTCGCATCATTTTGCATTTGGTGATAAAATGGTATGGTAATATTAAGTTTTTGTAATAAGTGTTTTCATTTGTAATTGCCATTTGCCTGCTATTCTGAATTAAAAAAAAAAAAAAAAAAAAAAAAAAAAAAAAAAAAAAATTCTGATCTGCTAATATACAGCTTTTATTTATTTATTTTTAAAATTTGATATTTCTAGGTTGGCTTTTGTGTATATAAGCAATACTTACGAAGAAACATCACAAGCATGAACTTCGACAATCCCGTTTACAGAAAAACAACTGAAGATCAGTTTAGTTTAGAGAAAAACCAATATCAGCCAGCTAAATCTTACCCTTCTGTAAGTGTATCTTTTTTAAATTAAAAAAATTGTCTTCCACTGAGGTTTTTTTCTCCTTTGTATTTATATATTAAGTAATTAATTATGTATGTGATTTTCTCGTGTGGTTTTGACTAATATTTCGTGTGATAAAAAATACAGTGGAAAATATTGAATGTCGTATCAAGTTTTTCAAATATCATAAATTATTATAAAGTGAAAATTATTTTTGTAGTAGCTTTTTATTAGTTCTTGAGAAATTTTGGGGAATGGAACTTTTTTAACTCCCCCTGCCCCCCCAAAAAAGTAGTGAAATGGCTGGCATTATTATGTGTTAATCAAATTTTTTCAGATTAAATATTAGTTATGTTTAATATTTATTAAAGAAGTTTGTATTATATAATGTGTTTGAAAAATATCCAGTTTATAATTTACGGAATTTTAGTTTTTAATGAATTATGCATTGAGTAGTAAATAGTGGACAGGAGGTAAAATTTGCAGGACATTCGTAGGTTGAGTAATGGAAATTCAAAACGGTCCTTGGGATTTCTGCTAACTTTTTAATGAAAAGTTTCAAGGACAAAGATTTATACAGTAGAATCTCACAACTGTCTCTAAGCTACATTTAGTTTTGAACGTAAACAAAATTCAGTTTTCAGAAACATTGGCTTGGCAAAGTAATTTATTCTTATATGTATATATGAAAATAATTTTTTAACAAAAATATGCTATACTTATGATTGATGAAGTAAATATACTTTAATAAATAGTTATAAGCATTTTCTTAAAATTTTTATTGTTACTTTTGGAATTATTATAATTCTGGATGTGCATTTGAACTTTGCACTTCATAGCAGCTTACTTTATATCCTGCCTGACAAGAAAGTGTGTTTACATGCACAAGTGAATGGGAACAAATTCTTGAACAGCATTCAAAGATTTAAGTAAGATATATATATATATATATATATATATTAAAGCAGTAAAGGAGAGGAGGTTAAAGAATAGGAAATTAAAAAAAAAAAAGTAAGTCAAGAATTTTAATAGTATTAATAATACAATTAATTGTTCCTGTATGATAACTGGCAGGATTAGCATTCTCTTTTGGAAAATTCCTGTTGTTTGGGAGTTTTAAATAATGTATTTTTACCGCGGGTGGATATATAGTTCTTTTATGTAAAATTGATGCATTTTTATCAAGAGTTATTTCCCTGAAATCTCCCCACAATGTCAAATTGCTCATATTGGTCGGATATTCTTTGTATATAATTATATTTAAAAATATAGTAGCAAAACTTAATTAAATAAGTCTGAAATTATCAATGTGTTTTAATTAGTAATTTATGTTTCAACAATCCAGATGTATTGTAAAAAATTAGAAAGGGAAAATTGTAAATAAAACTTGGGAGCAAATGACTCGTAAACTGCAGATGGAGGAGATAGCTATAATTTGATCTGGAGTTGATTGAGTTAACAGAATTATACTGTATAACAATTTTTTGGAAGGGGGATATTGTGAAGCATCATACTGTAGATTTTTCAATACAGCTCTTGGTATCCAGTAAGTTACTGTTATGCTGTTCAAACAGATAATGGAAATATTCGGGCTGCACAACACATTTAACAAAAACTGGACATAACAGTAACTGAATCTGCGGTATCTAATCTTTAGAATTTTTTCTAAAGAAATGTTTCTAAGTAAGAAATTAAGTTTATTAAATTTAATGAAACTTAATTGTGAAAAAAAGTCCCAAGTGTTTTTTGGTGTAATTTAGTGTAATTCATTTTTCTTATTAAATGTTATATGATAATGTCATAGACATTTATGGAACTTTTTATGAATATCAATCCAAAGTTCAATCAGTTTATATTTATCTTGGTTTTATATTAATAAATGATACATTATTAAATTTATTCACAAAATCATATGTGCAATCTATATTTTCTTTTCATTGTATTTAAAAATACTTCAATAAAAAAAAGTCTTAAAAAGCTTCAATAAATGAAAATATACAATAAGCCTGTACAAGTATAACCTTTTACAATTTATTTTTTTCCTCTTAATCTCCTTTTCACCCCACTCACCAACTTGCTTTGTGTGAAATAGCATGTAAAATTGCATTTTGTTAACAGTTACCTGCTAATCAAATTCCTACATGATTAGAAGCATTAGAAACACTAGACCTCAATGACACCCTATTTCAAAATTAATGCCTCTAGACTTAAACTTCATTTAAGTGAAGCCTTGGAGAGCCTAACTTTAAATAAACTCGTTTACGATATGTTATCTTTTACCTTTCATTTACCATACACATCATCAACAGCACACTGTCTTTTCGGGACTTTCCGGCTATAAAAGTATTTAAAAAAAAAATACAAAATTCAACTAGCCAAAGAATGTAAAATTTGGAGTAGCTAATTACATATTGATACATTTTATGTCAGAGTCATGTTATGAATCATTTGATAGCATCAATTCATGCATTATAAGGTGAATTTGAAAGGCAGTTTGAAATTAATGTGAAAACATATAAAGTAAATTTAAAAATCACTTTGGCATGAAACCCCATGGAAATTCTCCATTTCAAGTAAGAATATCGGTTTCTCATAGCTTCAGGCTGGCAGCTGTACATAAAATTAAGGTGAGCTAAACCTATTTCAAATAAATTATTCAATATTTCATTTATTGTAAGTTTTCTGTGTGTAAATAAATCATTGTGATACATCTGCAAGTTTGTAAAGCTAATGTGATTTAAATTAATTGTAATTATAATATATATTTATTTAAGAAAACAAATTTAAAACTCTTTATGTGTGACAAAGTATGGGACGAGGCTTACAAAAGTAAGTGAATAACTCAGTAATACAAAGGAGATATCATGCAACAATTGTACAATACAATAATACATAACGTCTACATCTGAAGAGAATAAGGAATATATTTAATATTATAAATACTATAATAAAAATACTAAAATATACTATAAATAATAAAACTGCAATAAATCTACTGCTGTAAATAAATATATATGTATATATACTTATATCAATGTATTTATTCCTTTTTTCCCCCTCCCCAGAGTCTTGAACCCTTGACGTCGCCAGGGACGAATGAATTTGTTTAGCAGATGTTTATATTTTTTACATTCCAGTCTTTTAAGTGATGTCATTCAAACATTTTAGGACCACATGGGTCTTCTGTACATAATGAACTTTAACTGCATCTTGATTGATGAATGTACATTGAAAAAAATATTTTATAGAAAAATGTAGCTTTGTATGAATGTTGTATATGAGTGAAAGATTTATTTTTGAAATATCAGGTATGTTAAAATTATTTGGATTTCTTTTACTTATTCATCATTTACATAGAAAGTTTAACAATTAGTTTATTGGAAAATTTATTTAATCCAACTTTATTATGACTTAGTTCAGGCAGCGAACCAAAACATTATTATTGCATTGGATAGAGAACATTTGTTTGTAAATACTTTAGGGTTATTCATTATTCCATGAAGTATTATAATAAAAATTTGAAATAATTAAACTTTAAATTCAGTTGCATTAAAACCAAATTCACGAACATTTTTAATAAATTTTTGACAAATGCTTGGATGTGCTTTACCACTGCTAATCTTGCAGATACCACCGCACCAGTGATTGAGCAGTTGAAAAGACTGCTAGATACTGGTAGTCCATCCTGGGTTCTGATCTTCCCCATGTGTAATGTGAATATGAGCCATTTCGTTTCAGAAAGTTTACTACAAAGACTTTTCTCCTCTTAGGCAGATAGTATCATGTGCTTTGCTATTCAACTTATCAACCAAACATCTTGCTGAGTGATAATCCATTTATTTCGGCCATTGAATCAGTGAGGTGGTTGCAGAGACCCGAAGAGCTGGCAAATTCTAGAGGCTTAAAGTATCCTTGGCAAACTCCAAAAAGAGTCATACAGAATTAAATTCTTAAATTAGTGTGGCCTTAGCATTAACATGCCACTTTCACATTTTATGTATCATTGGCAAAGTTTGATCACAAATGCATGTGCAAATGATCTTGATATGATTTTCTCTGTGGCATTGAGCTAGACAGCTGTTCTTATTAAGAGAGGTAATCATCACTATTTTGATTCTGCTGTGGTTATTGGGCAACTTTCGAGTATACTTTAAGTAAATCCTCAGTGTGATGCATAGATATACGCCATATCAACTATGTGCCATATCTGCACATCAGGCACCTGTAAAATAATAACTGTAACAAGTTTGCATCTATTTCAGTGTAATAAAATTTTGCACTGCTTGCATAATTTGTATGTTTTTAAAAAAACTTTCATGGAATTGTGAAGAATTTTATATAATTAAAGTATATTATTTTTAAAAGATAAAAATTATCTAAGAATATGAGGCTGCTGTTAATCAAATTAGAGATATAACTAAGCAGATAACCTTATACCTTGTCATAATCAAAATGATCGGTTCTGTTAAGAAGTAAAACATGTTTATTTAAATTTTTTTTCATTTGTTTCACTTTTATACAGTGGTGATGTCTGGCAGTATAGATGGCTAATGAGATAGTACCGTAACATCATGTGATTCAAAAATCACCAATGCTGTAGTTATTTAAATGTCAGAATTTTTTATTAGTATGGTTCGAATTAAAGAAAATCAAAATCATTTTCACAGTTATCTGATGTAACTGAGAAAGCAATCATGTTGAAGTCTTTCAGCAAAACTAGCATTATGTAAATTAACAGACAGTTTTGTGCCAAACAGATAAAAGTGCCATTAAGACAATCCAAACTATCTTTTCTTTCAGTCACTTTTATGTTATATCAATTTTATACCAGTGTACAACATGTTCATTGGCATCCAGTTTCAGTAAGAATAAAATTTTGTACATTATTTTTCTGATGTGGAACCAATAACTATGACAACAGAAAGATGTATAGTCTAAAACGGGTTCTCGACTGGTGGTATGCAAGAGAAAACTAAATGATACGCAAAGTATTTTTAACTATTAAATTCAAAAATTAAAACCCCAACATCCTGATTGAGTTTTTCTCTAATACTCGTAAATTTATGTGATCTGAGCTTTGTTTAGCTGTTTCACAGTTCCCAGCTTTATCACCCTTAATAAGTTTTATGTAGTCCACTATACTGTCCAGATCTGTGTTAGAAAACTGATATGATATTTTAGACTTGGATGTGATGATGGGCCATTCCAGGTCTGAAAATTGATATGGTATTTTAGACCTGGACAGTGCTGAAGTAGCCTGGATGTTGTAATCCGGACTGCTGGTCCAAACTCCAGTTTTGCTCCCACATAAAAGTTAAGTTGTAGTGTTTTTCCTCTTCTCTGATGGATGAAATATCCAATCACTGGAGATGTCTCCGGGAAGATTCCTCAGTGAAGAAACAAACAAAACAAAACAAACGAACAAACAAACAAAGAGAGATGAGATGTTCTGCCATTCCCAATGAACTTCTTTCCTATCTAGTGTCTGGCCCTTTTTATTAAAATAAAACTTTTGGGGAAATATTTGGACAACTGTATCATGCTGTTTAAGAGTTTGCAATCTTGTATTTTCTTGCTAACGTAACTGATAAAACAACACATAAATTGCCCATGGTGCAACTTTCAAGTTCTTGTGGGAAGAAACTGTACATGGAAATAAATTTTCCAAGCGGAATTAAGCGAGCACTTTTTCATGGGGAACAAGGATTGAAAAAGTGTTGATACTTGATGACATCTCAAATATATCTGTCTGCTAATATGTGCTAAATATGGAAAACATGTTTGAGCTCTTAATGCATTAAAAATTGAAATTTCCCTTGCAATTGAGTTTGCTGTCTATTAAAGAATAATTCTTTCAATATGTACTTTTATTTAGAGGCAATTCCATCTTTGGAGTGTAATTATATTTTTGTAAATTGAACAATTTCATAAATATCTGATAAATCAGTTTTACCTTTCTGATAAAAGAAATTAAAAATGTGTGAGATATTTGAATGTATTGTATATAATTTGATATTTTAAAAGTAGATAATTGTATCTTGTATATAGTGTTACTTTCTGTAATCTGAAGATTGTAGAGGGTTTTGTAAGCATTTAGATTCCAAAGTTTGTGGCAAAATTTATTGTTCTTGTATTCTGTTATTTATTTTGTATTCCTTTTTTTTTCCACCCAATGTGCTAATTTAAGCCTATATGTTCAGACTGAAATGCAAAGTATAATTTATTGCCTGTTGTGTTATGAAAATGTGCATTTATTAACCTATTACTTGCATTTTCTTTTTTGTAAATATGTGTTCCATGTTAGAAACTTTGGAAAACATTTTCTTTCCAGAAGAAAAAATGAATGTAGCATCTGTGTTTTGTTTATTTACATTAATTATAGGCACTTATTTGAAGAGAAAAATACAAATACAGAAATGTTGCAAATAATTTAGCATAGCTTAATATTTTTATTTAAAACAAACTTTTGTTTGCATCTGTTGTATATTTTTCAAAGTGATCGGTCAATAAATTCAGAGTGCTTCCAATGTAAAAAAAAAAAAAAAAATTAAAATTTTTATTACCTGTGCATGTGAGTGAATGTGTTGTGCGTGCAGACATACATGAAGACAGTTGCCTTTGTTTGGTGACTAGTATTTGAATCAGATGTGAGACTTGTTCCTGATATTTTGTGTAAAATTGTAAACACGTGCCAATTTTGTAGTGGCACCTTATTTCTGCATTAAAGAGATTGTTAATAAGGAAAGTTTGCTTTATAAAATATATATAAATATTGGTTTTAAATTGAATTAGTAAAATATATTGGACTTTTTAATAACTCTCATGAATTTTTATTGTATGTTTTTAAAGGTGATTTAAAACATCAAATAATAAAATGTGATTATGAGAAGTAATTCTTGAGATACTTTCAGGTGTGATCAGAATGCATAATGAACACCTTTCCAGTTCTGTTAAAAATTATATTTGTAAATTTGTTTGTAGTAAACTTGTGTAGAAATTTTTTGGTGTTTCTTTACTTACATAAACTGAAGTTACATCTGTATACCATGTATCTAACATTTCTGGTAAAGGTATTTACAATAAACCTACAGGAAAAAAGCCAGTTCTGATCTTGCATGTTATATTTTGTATTCTGAAAACTCTTCATTCACCGTGGTAGTACTGGAAGTAATGTTTTCAGTTTAACATAAAATTAACAGCAGTTAAAAAAATATGCATATTATATTTGAGAAAAATGTAATTAATGGCATATACCTTCAATTTGAAGCAGTTTAGCTTGAAAAATAAATTCAGTTTATTTGGTTATATAAATTAAGATACAAAGCTACTCCCTCCTCCTCTAAAAAAAAAAAAAAAAAAAAAAAAAAAAAAAAAAAAAAAAGAAGAAGAAGAATTAAAGGAGAAGAATCAACAGCATTTAGAAATAAAGAAAAGTTGTAAATGGCATGTGAATAAATGTCAGAAGGAGCAATTCCCAAATAAAAAGTAATTTTAGGAAATTTGTAGATACCAATGAGTTACTGTCATTATTTACATATCACTTACGTACTCATGGTTTGTTCTAATTGTAATAGAGGCCAAAATTTTTCTTAATGAAAGCTACGAGATATCGTCAAAATGGTGTTATATTTGAGAGATTTTGGTAGTTACAGTTTCTCAGTTATTACTTATGATTTCTTCGAAATTGTAGTAAAACCCAAATAGCTAATAGCTATTTCTAAATGAAACCTCACCCTGGGGGATGTTTTCCCTTACCACTTTCAAGAGAAGTTTCGGCTCAACATTATATTTTAGGTGTCTGTATGGAGCAAAACTTGCAAGGTTTCTTGGAGCATTGTCATGCTCAATAAGTTTTAGGCAGTTCACCATACTATATAGGTTTGTGTTAGAAAATTGGTATGATATTTTGGACTCGAATGCGATGATGGGCCATCTAGATGTCCGAAAATTGGTAAGGTGTTTTAGACTTGGATTAGTGGTTCTGATTAGTTCTTGTAAATATCAAGCATTATTTCTTCTATATATTCTTTTCTGAAACCACTTTAATTTTGCACGCTCTTTAAAGTTGTTGTGTTTTCACGTTCACATTACACACTGTACTGTGAAAATAGTTATTTTTGCAATCTATCACCCTGTTGTGCACTAACTCATATTACCTGCACTAGATGGCAGCAGTACTGTAAAAAAGGGCAATTCAGTGCCTTTCTTAAGCAGTGCTGCCATCTAGCAGATGGAACTTCAGTTAGAATCCACCACAATCCCTTCAGTTCTTTCATAACCTGTATGCATTAAAGTATGGTTTTTACAACCCTTTACGTTGCAATCTAAAGATTAAAATAGAAAGGTTACTAATTCATTTAAATTATTTTCCATCATTACTAAGCTTTTGGCATGACAGACTTCTACTTTAAAAGTTGTTATGTGTTCTATGCAAAGTCAAAATCAATCATTAGAGTGTGCCGTAAAATTAGGCTTTGCAGTAATGGTAGTGTAATGAAAAAATTCAGTTCCCGATTTACAGTAATGGAGACATAGAGAAAAACTTCTTACAGAAGGCCTTCCAACTAAAGCTCATTTTATATAAAATATATTTAAAAATAATTTCCCTTTTTGTTTAAAATTCTCTAAATGAAAAATAGATTTCACTTTTCTTTGTTTTATTTTTGGTGGTTTCGGTTCATAATTTATTGTGCAAAATACAAATGTGAAATATTTTATATATGATTATGTAATATGAGGCAGGTAAATTGTGAAACATTAATACTAGCTGCAACATGAACCAACAAGGCAAATAGAAGACATTTAAAATATGAGCCAGGAAAAAAGGGGACATTTTATACTGTTTAAAATAAAAGCCAGGCAACTATAAAACAAAATACAGTCAAAAGTCGTTAATCCGGAATCGTCGGGACTTCGGCGATTCCGGATTATAGATCATCAGTTTAAATCTAGTAAGATGTCATGCAGAAATTATAAAACTAAAAATATGAAACCGTAATTATGAATTAAAGAATTGATTTAAGAATAAATTATGACTTTTCAAAAAAAATTCAAAAAAAAAAAAAAAAAAAAAAAAAAAAAAAAAAAAAAAAAAAGCTTAATATTTGTTTACTTTATTAAAAATTTCTTTTCAAAGTAAGTTTTTAAGGATTTGCCAATTTTTAAATGTTAATTTATACATTCTCTTAAATTTTTATAATCAACAGACTAATTTCTTAGTACAAAGTTCAGGTACAAAGCGTCCGCTATTCAAGTCCTATAATTGCTTGTCGAGAATATACCGACTAATTTGTCATAGAAATTTTTGTTTTCAATAACCTCTCTTACTTTCTTCGCTATCGGAAGCGAATTAATGACGAGGATTTGATTTAATCAATCAAGACGGAGTACTCGAGATGAAATACTACATTTAGTAAGGAATTATAAGCCAAATAAAATAGAAACATCTGCCCTGAAGATAAGAAAGTGCTGACAGATCAACTTCCAATTCATTGCGCACGCGCGTCGTTAAAGATAACAAAGTTTAGATAAACAAAGGATATGCCTTTATCGTTTTTGCAGCAATTCCACTTTTTGTTAATGGACTTCGAAACATACTTCGCTTTGTGATCCTTTACATATTAGTAAATATATATCAGAATTCTATTTGACATAATCAAAAGTTCACGTAACTTTTAAAATTGCTCTAACAGTCTGCAAATATAATAAGCTGGATCTAATTCGAAGATTAAGGAACAACGCAATCTGCAACTTAATTAACTGAATTAGATAATTTTAGCTTGTTTTACCGTCCGTTATACATTAAACGCGCATTCGTAAACGTATTTTGCGCCGCGCACACACCTATTCGCAGCCGTAAAGATTACGCTGCGCAGCCAGAAAGTTTGTAGCTTTGAGGTCCGGATTATGGGTGTCCGAATTACGACTTTGGACTGTACGAAAATTTCAAACCAAGGTCTTATTCCCTTGCGAGAAGTGTGGATAAATACGTAGTACGTGGGCACATTTTTAGAGCGACTTCAACTAAGAATCTTTTTAAAAACCCTATATTTGGAATAAACAATTTCGGCAAAACATTATCTGAAACGAGGTTCCTGTGCTGCTTTAATTTATTCTTTCAAAATCTCTCATGTCAAACAAGTTGGATATCGAAAGAATGGTTCGCGGTTCTCATGATTATGCGTCTTTAAAAAAGTTCATTGCGATTAAAGCTGTTTTCCATGGTATTTTCTAAGTTAGTGCAAAAATAAGCAACATTATTAATAATAAGGGGGAAAATCCTTTAATCACTACTTCTATATGGACAAACAAATACCCACAAAAAGTTAGTACTGTTTTATAATGTTTTGAAGTTAAATCATCGGTAATAAGGAAAACATCTTCTGACACAGAAATCAGTTGCAAAGTTTTTAAATACATCTGTAACAATATTAAATGAAATAATAAACTAAGATTTACAACTTAAACAAAAAAGCTAAAAAATATGCTCACCAACTTTTGACAAGGTATGTGGCCTTCTGCGTTCAGCCTATGCTTAGGTTCAGCCTAAGGCATGTAGGCTGAACGCAGAAGGCCACATGCCTTGGCTTTTTCGTTGTAACAAAAATAAATAATACAGTACAAAGACCGAAATCCGGACTCGCCCCCCCCCGGAACTTCGGCGATTCCGGATTTGGAATCATCAGTTTAAATCTGGTAAGATGGCATGTAGAAATTCTAAAATTAAAAATATAAAATTGGGATTTATGAAATAATAAAGTATTTATCATCTAAAGGGTATTAAAATTTACAAAAAAAAAAAAAAAAAAAAAAAGGAAGCTTAATATTTATTTGTTTACCTTATTACACATTTCTTTCAATGTAAGTTGTTTTCATTTTTTGTGCTAATACTTTCTCTTTAATTCTGTAGACATACAATCTCTTGTTTAGTTATATTGTTGAAGGTCCTGTAACTGCTGTTTCGAGAATTCCGACTAACTTGTCAATTGAAATTTTCTCGTTTTTCGTAACTTCTCTATCACTTTCTTTACTATCGGAAGCACTATTTTCTGGATCTAGAACCATACTACGGATTTCGCCATTCATTAATTGATTGATGATTGAGAAGCATTGTCATCAGAATGAAAAACTTCTTTTATATCATCTTCATTTATTACCGCTTCTCCACATTTCTTTACAAAATCCGTTAATTGGAAAATTCCCCTTTGTTTTGCGATATCCGAAAAATTATTAACGCCTATTATCATCAAATTTAGCTATCCTTCACTATACATATTTGGCTATGCATCATGAGCTTGGCGACTTACAAGTTGTTCCGTTAAATTTTATCTTGCTTCTATCGCGCACTGAGACAATTAAGCCTGAATTGTATTAGTTTAGTTATTTATTATACTTATGTCTATTTCTTGCATATGCTTAAGGCTTATTAGAGTTCTGAATAAATAAATTTCCTCATATACTTAAGCATTATTGAGGGCCGGTACTAGATATTTTGCCGCCTGATGCAGTATCTGTGGGTTCTAAATTCTGCGACTCGGCGCGGCAATACTAGCCCTGGCGCTGGTTCTGGGTTTATGTAAATAACAAATCAGTTATTCTTAATTCAAATAGCCCTAAAGGTAATCTTTGGGTCTATGAGTATGATCAACAAAATCTATTTTTAGCATATGTAAAGAAATTTTTGGTAAATTTCCCCTCGTGAAAATTATTTAGCGCATTTAACTGAAGTCTGTAATCATCACCCAGCGTCATCTCAATATAAAAGGTTACCATACTCCTTTATTATTCAATTATTAACATAAAAAAATTGTTTAGGCATCGCTACATGAGTGATTATTCAAGCTGTCATGTTTTGATAAACATGCGGTGACGAAAGTGTAATAAATAATGATTCGCCAGGTTGGCGTCAGATCAACGATGTTTCTATGTGGAATATTTCAGTTTGAGATGAATGCCAAGCAGATATGCAGCAACGGAGTCAAATTACTGATAGTACAAATTTATGCTGAAATGATTGTTTCGTGTCGCAGGATTCTCTTACAACGAGAAATTAAAAATAAAAGAGGGGGGATTTAAATCAACGCACCATTAAGAGAAAGTTTTACGCCCGATATTTACAGAAGAAATTCCATTTCTTTACCCCAGTGACTTTCAAAAGAGTGGAACTTCCTCAAGACATCGAAAAGTGCCATTGCATTCCTTGAAAAAAAAAAAAAAAAAAATGAAAACTGATACATAGCTAGTACTTATATATATATTTTTTATACTCCTGCAAAGTACTCTGACGTTTCACCATGGGACCCATGGGGAAACGTCAATGGACCACAATAACCCATGGCATGGCATGGGTTATTGTGCGTATGATCTCTTGAGAAAAGCTTTTTCTACGCACAAATCCACTA